ATGTAAATTTCCAACACTGTTTCTCATTGTGTGTTTACAGCGACGGCGATTATAAAGGTAAGAAGATACAGCATCAAAGTAGATTTGGTACAAATATGGAATGTATGGCAACGCATAACACCCACGTCACCCTTTTCTCATTTGATTAGAGTGCAGCCCTTGGTCCCATGTCTCACCTCATAGTGCTGTGAGTAGGAGGACAACACAGGTTGCCAATGTGGCCTGGGAACTGACGTTGAGTAAGCAGATGAGTTAGAAGAAGAAAAGATAAGAGAGAGTCCTATATGAGTGGTTCACATACATGTAATTGAGCCGGATGATTTGGCAGGGGAACAAACTAAAGTATTACAATTATTAAAAAAAACAATGGTTCTCCAGCAAAAGTAATGACTGTTTGTGGTCATATATGAAATTGCTTGCATTTTTTTCTTCTATTGGCTAAATTGTGTTGGTTTCATTAGTAGATGTTGTTTGTCCCACTAAAAAGAGTCTTGTTTGAGAAATGTTTTAAATGCTGACTTTGCTAAATATGTTATGCTTAGTTGAGAACTCATTGGCGTAGGGAGAACTGGTCCCACCCTAACCCAAAAGCTAATCTAGTAGCTTTTTGTCACTAAAACATAGTGACAGTGTAGTGATACAAGCTGATTTGAATGTGAGGAACTAGTTACATGGATTTAACTGCATAATTACTTGGTGTATTCTCATCTTTAAATATGAATTACTTTATTTTACGGATAAATAAATACTTTGAAATGATTGTGCATTCGGTCAATATCAATTTTCCTCCAGACTAAATGTGAACCCGTTCCGCCATGGTTGCATCTTGTGTTTACAAACACTAAAAGGTCATTGTAAATGTGGTAGCGGAGGCAGCGACGGTGTGTCTGACCAAAGGAAAGCTAATGTATCGTTTAGCCTCCCCAAGCAGAGGAACCCTGCGTGTCCGTCTGCAGCCACAGAGCTCGCCCCCTGCTTAAGGCAACAAGACTGGAGCTCAGCATTACAAGCCTATTAAAAGATACTTTTAATTACACCACGCTCTCCCGGGATCACTTCTTCTGTGAACTGCATGTTACTTTGGCATGTGCACTTAGGAATGGCACCAGCACAAGCACATGTTGTTTTCTGCCTCCAATTAAAGGCCATGTTGACAGATTACGGTTGCTTCTGGTCCGTGCATCACTAATGTTTTAAAGGCAGATGATGAACATGTATGTGAAGGGCAGGGCGTGTCTCCCAGAGCCGACACATCGAAAACAGAAAGGAGCAAGAGCACACTAACCTGAGGGGATTAATGTGTTTACATTACCTGGGCTGTGATCTATCACCAACCTCGTCAACTTCTATTATACATCACATGCATACACATCACATCTGGAGGCCCTTGCACTCAGATAATGCACGGCCTGTTCCTGCGCACAATCACACATGCTCAACGTGCGGCGACATCACCAGCTGATCAATAGTTAAACCATTTCACAGACAAAAATACAATGAATATAATGGAATTGAACCATAATCCAGGTTTATAATCACTGAAAGGCTGTGAAAATGTATATATTTGATAATGTGCCGCATTCAAGAGCTGCTGCAAGAAAGAATTTTGGACAAAGTAGTAGTCTCATATTTACATGGGACTCACCCGTTATGAATGTATCTGCAAACAGAATAACTCCCATACAAATTATTCTGTGATTTTGTTATGAAAAATAAAGAACGTGCCTATAGCGTACAGACGAAACTGATTGAAAGAGCTCATAACACACTCATGCCTCATTATATCTAATCAATATTCATTTAGTCACTGAGCCTATTGACTCATTTCTGAAATAATAGCACAGGTCATTTGTCTATAGGCACGGAGCCAGGTCGACATTATCTTTTATGTGCTTCCCTAATTTAGTAGCAGGCTTGTAAAATTGAACCATCTCCACAATGGAAGTGTAAATAAATATTTTTAATACAACAGTTAGACAAAAAACGTCAATGCATGCTTCCTGCGATCTAGCCAGAGCCAATCAATCTTGATGTGCACAGCTGGCAGCGTGTGGCATATGAGGACACATGAAGAGGAAGAAAAGGAGCAATCTTTGTATGATATACCTCTTATTTTGGAATCGCTCCTCATAATAGGGTCATCATTTCATCACTTAGCCAATCTCGAGGCCTGCCATTCAGCCTGGAGGGGAAGCTTGGTGAGCGGGGTGGAAAACAGCAGAGGGGGGGAAGCCATAGCCCATAATAGCAAAGCATGGGCTCTATATATCTTCATTCAGGTCAATAAGAAAGAAAGGCATGGATAGATATGGTTTCCTGCGAGTGGCATATTTCAAAAGTGTTAACATATGCCAAAAAACAAAGTGCAATAATATGCAAATGTTATTACACATTATACAATATATTTGGTATGCATAAAGATTAGACTATTTTAAATAATCTGTAATTATGTAAATTAATAATTATTTTAAGCTCTTGTAGCAAACACACTCTTATTAGATATCTAAGAAGTATTTAAGCGTAATACATCACTTTAAGCTTATAATATATAGCAGATGAAAAAGGCTTCTGGATCATTATTGTTTGAAACGAGAACATAATGAATTCCCACGTCTCCACATGCTGTATTTAACCATATTCATATTATGTTTAATTAATACTCCCCACCCCACTCGTCTAAAAAGAAAAATACAAGGTCAAAAATAAATTACATCCATTATTTGCGTCAGATCTCCCCAAAGCATTTGGAGCTGAAAACTGTTTTGAATTTCAATTGGCTTCGGAGTGGCAAAAGCCCTCAGCTAATACATCAAAGAAAAATTGATGTCAAGTAATCGGTTTAGGACACGACTGCGAATGGTTAAAACGCCCGTGAATACTTGAAGCATTTTGCGTAAACGCTCTGGGATCAGCAGTGGTCGCAACGCAGCTGACCTTGTGCGCTCTGCAAGAACCTGTCCAGCACTCGACAAACGTGCGTGTTTTATCCCAGGCAGCCATGCAATTAGCCTGCCACGACGCATAATGTTGTGTAATAATATCCTCTATATCCAATTTAGATTACGCTCTCCCTCAGGCATTTAAGCTGCATCGTCTGTCATTGACATTTTCCCAGTTTGAAGCGTCAAAGATGTGTGTGTGTGTGCGCGCGCGCGTATATAAAGAAACAAAACAAAAACAAAAAAATATTTACGGGAGAATAGAGCATTTTAACACCTCGCCAGACATCCAGATGAATAGCCAAGATAACTCTCCAACCTGCTATTATGTGAGCGCGGTGCCCGTGTCCTCCCCCTGCTGCACAAAACCATGAAACACACACCCACCCACACACACGCACACACACACACACGTACACGCACAGGTCAAAGATTTGTCAAGGCACTTTTTATTCAACCACATCCACATAAAAAAATGTACATGTTTTAAATAACCTTACCGTTTCTGTAGAGCAACACATGTATTTGTTTACATTTCAAAAAACAAAGTTAGTTTTAGTTTATTTGGGCAAAATGATCTTACTGATTGTACAGAGTAGTGAAATAATATTGTAATTTAAACATATAGAGTCGTCCTCAAAGTGTACTTGTCTGGAGCGTACCGTCGGAACAGTGTCGTCCCAGTCTTCTGCTCTCTGGAGATTTTTCAGAGCGTATAAAATCACGTGACTGATTGTGCGCGGAGTGTTAGTAACGCCTGCAGCGATCCCTTTCGGCTCAAGTGAGATCTGAACTTTCAGTCTCTCTAAATAAAGAACACATTCATTTTTTAAATAATAGGCTATTCATAATAATAAGATTAATGATGATAATAGGAACAAAAATACTTTAGAATAATAATAATAATAATAATAATAGCAGAAATTGTCAGCTATAGGGTGTGTGCGTGTGTCAGAAAAAAATCTATCTAATAATCTGTTCTTCTGCGCATATGCAAAAAAGCTTATCTGCAGGGATCTGTTGTGATTATTTCAAGGCGGATTTAAAGCAGCTATCCTACCAATCTGTTCAAGCTTCGGGCTTTCTAGACTTTCCACTAGAAAGGAATTATTCACTAGAAGGTCTACTCGAACTGTTTTAAACATGAGGAGCTAGGACAAATACATCAACAATGCAAGACAAAACTTTTTAAAGATATCCTATCCCAGTGTCTCTGTCACCAGCCGTGAACGCCTGCGTCAAAGTCGACCTGTGTGAAAAACAATCCATTCAAAATGTCAACTTTACCAGAGGAACTCCGTCAATGCATTTTAGGATTGCATTTACTCACGGATAAATCTGCAAGAAAACTTAGCAGTATCAGAGCGTACTAAAATTCTTCTCTTGACTCTTCAACTTTTCCAGCAAAGGCGATTGGTGGTCGTTCAAGTGCAGACGTTGCCCTTTCAGTTTTGCAGTCAACGAAAGAAAGAAGTTGCACGAGGAGAAAAGTTGGGAGTTGACAGAAGCGCTTGGTGTCGCTATCCAAAAGGGAAAAGGGGGGCTGCCAGGCGCGCACTTGAGACTCACTGCAGTGAGGAAGCTTGTTAAGCAGGAAAAATGGAGAAATGGAGTAAGGGGGGATTGTTAGTTAACGCAAGAGAGAGAGCTAGAGGGACAGAGGGAGGGTAAGAGGAGGGAAGAGAGAGGGGAAAGAGAGCATGGCGCTTCACAAGGCTGACTACACCCCAAGAGGAGGAGCGTACAGTACAGCGTGGTAGGCGTCAGGATCCTCAATTTCCAACTTAGCATCTTGGCAGGACATTTTCCCAAGCAAAGCCCTTGTCCGACGGGTAAAAATACCAAGTGCGCAGGCATGAGCGCGGCGGCGTAACTCAGTCAAGGAGCGACTCACTCTTCACCCGACGGAGAGTGGCAGCCAGCGACATAAGATTCACGCGTCTCTTCCCTCATTGAGCACTTTTCTCCTTCTGCGGGGACAAGCAGCGGGTCTGCGCAAGCACATGAGACAATAAAGGATAGTGCGCAACTTTAGTGACTTCCAATCTTTGCGCATCAAGCATGGCTTATCCTCAGGGCTACTTGTACCAGCCATCGGCGTCCCTAGCGCTGTACTCATGTCCCGCATACAGCACCAGTGTCATCACGGGACCCCGGACTGAAGAACTCGGGAGATCCTCGTCTGGATCTGCTTTCGCACCTTATGCCGGATCTACCGCCTTCACCAGCGCCTCACCGGGGTACAATTCCCATTTGCCGTACAATGCAGACGCAGCTGCGGCCGCCACATTCACCTCGTATGTGGTGAGTAAACTCAAGGTGATTATTCCATCCAGCAGGCAGTAAACGCCAGTTTATTAAGTCGTATCAGCCTCAGACGCACGCTGTGCGCCGGGGGTAAGCGATTAGGAAATCAGCATGTGCAAAAGTGCACGTATAACATTAAACGAGCCAAAACATGTTTAAACTACCTTAGACATTGCAAGGTATGTTACCGAGGACAGAAGAGTTTAAGGAAGTGCGGCGTCAAGAGAATTATGAAGAGAAAACATTGCGTGTCTCGTCACTGCACACTTCGTGAAGCCATAAAAGGATGATTATGTGTATATGAAAATGAAGCTTTAGCGAAACTACAATCAGTGTCAATAACACATGTTTTTTTTTTATGTAGATCTATATCATTTTGATCAAGTGTCACATATCCATGTCTAGGCCCATACACACATTAGGCTTGTGCTATGATGAATGTTGGCTATGGATATACAGAGTTTGACGCGCCGAATAGCACACGATGACACGGCGTAAATTAATACATTTATGTTTTAATTTTATCCATTGTTCTTCGGCACGTAATTACCCAAAATGGCATCGATTAAAACACAATGGATGTATGGATATAAACAAACTCATGGTATTCCCTGTTAGATGGATAAGTGTGTTGGGGATGTTGGAATAATTTCCCATGCATGTGATTATAGGCCTATTTAATTAAGATTACAATTTTGCTAATTTAAGAATAGTGCATACACTTTGAATGTGATAATTCTACCCTCTCACACACGTCATGTTATCTGTTCATAACAGAGCTCCCCATACGACCACACCACGGGTATGGCAGGTTCCATAGGATACCACCCGTATGCCGCGCCACTGGGCACGTACCCATACGGCGACCCAGCCTACAGGAAGAACGCCACACGGGACGCCACGGCAACGCTCAAGGCCTGGCTGAACGAGCACAGAAAGAACCCGTACCCCACCAAAGGAGAGAAGATCATGCTCGCCATCATCACCAAGATGACCCTCACACAAGTGTCCACCTGGTTCGCCAACGCCAGGAGGAGACTCAAGAAGGAGAACAAGATGACGTGGACCCCCAGGAACCGCAGCGAAGACGAGGAGGAGGACGAGAATATTGATTTAGAGAAAAACGACGATGATGAGCCCTGCAAACCTCTAGACAAGGGAGACTCCACCGACACAGAAGCAGGTTGGTGTTCCTCCTACACAGCTATACGGGGGAAGGAAAAAAATCATACATTTTTCATCGCAGTCGTTTTTACTCAGGCAGCTAAATTGATTGCTGGTTAATGGTGGTATATTATTTATAATGGGACAATTGCTTTAAATAATAATCACCTTGAACTCCCCTCGTTTGCCTTCAGTGAGGCTGGAATTGCTGGTGACGCAAAGTGTTTAGCAGTCAATTTATCTTTAAGTGTATAATAGGGCTACAGCTGGTGCACCGTGCGTCTTTAAAAATCACACCCATATTATTACAGATTAGTGCTGTAACGCCTGCCTCAGCTTTATCAAAGCAATTGCTCTGAGGATAAAAAAAAAAAAATCCTCTGGAAAATGCATATGTAATTAATGATCATTTTGAAGTGATTTATGCATATTGTATTTCTCTTGTTTGTGCTATGTTATATTGGATTATTTTGCACAGGCTGGGTGAATTGTGTTGTTTTTTTTCTTTAAAAGGTGAGGGTTTTTTTTATATTTTCTGCATGGGCCCTAATCTCATTTGTTCTGCTATGTGTTGCAGATCACAAACTCTTAAACCCTGGGGACTTAGGCTATGACCGGTTTAAAGAAGAGAGCCAGGGCAAAGACACGGAACCTCTCCTTAGCGACTCGGAACTAAAGGACACAGAGGAGCGAACTAGTTCTGCAGAGTTGCACCCAGACTCAGCCAGACCCACCACGTCCTCTCCATCCACGGTTTCCAGAGCGAGTGTCACGCTTCAAGACAAACCGTCAGACCTGAGCCTCGCACCCGCCTCAGTGACAAGCAACGTGACGTCTGTAATCCACTCGCCCCCCTCGGCCCCCAAACCAAAGCTGTGGTCCCTCGCGGAGATCGCCACGTCCTCGGACAGATGCAGTAAAAGTGGCAACAGCGACGCGTCCCCTGCGCAGAGTTCCGTGATGGGCTCGAGCGCGTCCCCGTCTCGGTCTAGTCCCCAGTGCGCGCTCCCGAACAGCACGGTCCTCTCGAGGCCTCTGTACTACACGACCCCCTTCTATCCTGGCTACACGAACTATGGGGGCACTTTTGGACACTTGCACAGTAACCATGGCTCGGGGTCCTCGCCGCATTTCAATGGAATAAATCAGACTGTGTTAAATAGAGCCGAAGCGCTGGTAAGAGAGAGCCACAAAATCAGAGGCCAAACGCAGGTAGATCTTTGTAAAGACTCCCCTTATGAACTAAAGAAAGGTATGTCAAATATTTAATACCTGCTATTTCACAGCCGCTAAGGACTTCTTATTTATTATCAATGTGGTTGCAGTAAGAAAGAACAACAACGTCAAGACACAGAACAATTATTTTCTGGAGTTATTAAGAGCTTATTCTGAAAAATCCTCGGTTTCTGAATGGAAAATCCTACGAAAACAAAGTAACAAAGAACTGTCTTAAACGCTGCAGGAGCCCTGGAGTCTATTTGTATTAAAGACTAACATGTATATTTAATGTAGCATTTTTGTATTTAAAATGAACACACTATCTTTGAAGTAAATTATGGAAAATGAAAATATTTGTACAGCGATTGTTTTGGATTTGGCAGTGACGTGCGCGCGAATGCATGTGTGTGTGTGTGTGTGTGCGCGCGTGGGCGCGTGCATGTGTGTACGTGCGGGTGCATGTGTGTGTGTGTGTGTGTATGCTGGTAGTGCTTCCAGGCCACTTGATGGGAAGATGCCATTGAAACAATAGGGTAACTTTATGCATGTTTGATAAGATATTTCTAGCAGTAAAACAGCCTCTTCTGTTTCTCCTATAATGAAAAAATGTGAACGATGTTTATTTTAGAGGCTTATCTCACGTTTTCCTTCCTGCGCAACCCTCCCAGGCCTCTCTGCTTACACTAGAGCACGTCGCAAGCAGATATTGATATCATAACAACTCCCAGCATTTAACCCAATTAGGTTTTTACGCAGCGCAATCAGGTACTGAGCCCCCGTAATGAGCCCGATTTTATGCCAATTTTTGAGCTCATTACTATTTTCAAAGGCGTGGCAGAACCGTTAAAAGGGATGCGACCATGCATTTAAAACATACTGCTCTGTTATATCACGTGTCATTAACGAAAAGCGTTCTTAAATAGTGCATCACAAATTTGAGAGAGGAAAAAAAAAAAAAGAAGGGCATGAGTCTGTGGCAAGTGCAGCCGGTAGCTATGCGCGCTCAGAACTCTTCCAACTTCTGCAGGTAGGTGTCACACTTGCTCCTAGTATTTCAGGGGGCCTCGCTCTCGTTAATCCCTCATGGAAACCCACGCCTGATCAAATGGTCTGTCTAAAAAAGGAAAAAGAACCGGAGCCAATGGGGCAGAGACAATGATCACAGTTATTAGGAGGATTATGGCAATTTGGACAAGTGAATAAAAGGAAGCTTTGAGTGTAACGTTTTTTAAAGATACATCCGTGAATATCTATTATCAGGATTATTAGTATTACTTTACAATTATTATTAAATTAATATAAACAATTATTAATTATTATTATTTAATTGTATATATAATCAGAATTCATTTTTCACTATTTTGACTATTTTTATTATTGTTATAGGCCTTAAGAAAAAAGGCCTTTTTACCCCTTTTTCTCTTACAAATTGAACATGAAGATGCCGTATGCTGATAGTAATAGAGTAATATTGATATGTTTGTGTGGCTGTCGCTGTTGACCCCAAGTGAAGTGGGAGAGCGCGCAGTTGTTTATGGGCACCATTAATCTCTATAGTGTGCTTTCCCCTTTACAGCTTGAAGCGTCCCTTGAGGTTTGCAGTAATTCCCTAAGCCTTTATGTCCCATACCCGAGTCTGCGCACCTCTCTCTGTGCACGCTCCAAACCTGCACTGATTGCGACACATGAGGCGTCTAAATAGCATAATTATGTTTTTCTTTCGCGCGTCCCCGGGGTATTTCTCTGTTCCGTGAACTGCGTCCTGAGAGAGTTTGACTTGAAATGGCGTTGTTCACACAGAGACGCACGCAGCTCTGAATGAATCATCTAAGACTGGCTGACGTTTGTTTGTCATGTGTTTGTATTTCTCATGCGTGACACCGATACTGCCTGCATCAGGAAGCAGATGACGACTGACGTATTACTAATATTATAATAATAATAATTATTATTATTAACATTATAATAACAATCATAATTATTATTATTAATAATTTTGAATAGGCCAATTTCATCAGTATTATTTTTCATAAACCTTATTTATTTTTGCTGCACGTCGCCAAGAAATATTGAGGGCTTCAACCGCGGAGTAAAAAACAAAAACATAACAAGAGAGGGAGAAAAAATAAAAACCTCGCACCCAAATGAAAGCAACAATATTGCAGCGAAAATACATACTGATACATTAGCCTAAATTGTACATGTACTGGGTAAAGTATAATGAAAACGTAAGCGTTACACCGCGGCCTCAGTGGTCAGTTTATAGGCCTGTGGCATTAGGCCTCTTATTTATAGCCTATTCAGGATTAGGCGTAAATGTCAATAACTATTTTAGATGCAAAAAATTTCTGTTGAGGTATTTGCTTTTTAACTTACTTATTAATTCATATTTGATTGGCTTTTGCAAAGAAAACAAAAGCAGGCCATTTTTTTATTATTATGTTTTTTATATATTTGTCATGTTCCACCTGTGTGTAAAGTTGTGTGCACATGTAAAGTGATCATGAGTCTACACCATTATTACCTCCTCCATCCGCATCTAAGAAATCAAAACTGAATATCTGTCAATAGCACAGTCTTCAACGCTGATTTCACAGCATGAAGTTTATCCACAATGTATTCAACTTTAATCAGGCAACACGGCCACACCAAAGTAGGGCAATAGTCAATACTTTCTTGTTGCAGAAAGAATGTTGTCAAGTTGGACGAAATATTGCAAAAAGTAGAAAAATACAAAAGGATATATTTGCATCATGACACTTTTTTGTTCTTATTGATTATATCCTATTGCGTGGGCACAGTCAATGCATGGTTGTAGTCGAGTTGCCAAGAACTTGACTACAAGCTGAATGCATTATCCTCTTCTAGTGGTGAAAATATTCTCTAATCAGTAGCTTTTTTCTCTGATTGCAGGGGAATGGTGGAATTGTACAGCCGTTGAGAGCAGACGAAACACAGTCCAGATAAGGTGGCACAGAGTGATTTAGCACAGTTTTTTTTGCACTTGACTGAATGTTTTTCTATTTCTCTTAGAGGTCCTCTGGGAGAGATTACACGTGTAATTTTCAGCTGTGAGATGTTTTAAGTGACGTCCCCCCAACATAAATAAAACATTTGTATGAAAGAGTGGAGGGAAAAGCAGGCTCTATGGAGCGAAGCCCGGGCAGCCGGTTGGACATACAATACTTCTAAGAAACTAAATATTGTATGTTTTGAACTGATACAGAAAATGCACGGTTCTTGAATGTGTCCAAACCAGTGGGCCAGTCATTCAACATTGTTCCCTCTAATAATTATTGCAGAACTGCCACAACAACCTTAAATAGACTGTTTAGGAACGTTTGTGAAATGTAAAACCTTTTTTAATCAAAATGGCGAGTGAAACGACTTTTAAAGAGTACATTTCGTGGGTAAATAGATCAGGTGACTTTCAAACTTCACACCGTACAGTACGTGTCTGTATCAGTCAGACTTCCACCTTGGCCTGTTAAAATAAACAGCTCATTGACCAATCTGCTCCGACAGAAGTGTGGCGTGAGCTCCTGACCCTGTGACTGCAAAGGGCCTGTGTTCAGTGGCCATGTAAGGGCTTATGCTGCTCACACTGAGGGTCTCTGGCCTGGCCCGGAGGCAGCCACACACATGCACACCAGCACGCACCAGCCCAAGACACACAGGACAGGCCCACGGAGCACAGAGCAGCGAGTGTGTGCGTGTGTGCGTGTGCAGATGGGACTCTGTGGTGGCCTCTTTCCTGCTCTACAACAAACCGTCCCATCTCGCTCCTCCCATTCTGATGCCCAGAGGTAAGCAGCGTGCATTTATCCAGTGCATATAGAATGACAAGGCGCCTGAAACACAAGAAGAAGTCTGGATGATCTAATACTCAAAGGTATTGTATGACGCACGCTGGTATGTGATAAGTATAAAGGCAGTGCATGGCATGTAAAGAATGAATTCTTCAGGCTCTAGAGAAGTAATAACCTACAAATACAGCACATTAGCTTTTTTTTTTTTATATAGACTATGTATTTTCCGGAGGGACAGAATAATTTAGTGCCAACGTAGCAGAATTGTGAATCCAGGGTACTTTTCATAGAGCAACCTGGCTTCCCACAACTGTTCCCTTACATTTGCTTGCATCTTTTTATCGTTTTTATCGTTATCGTTTCATTGATTTTAGTCAACATCAATCTCTTACACATTTGGAAGGCTCCACCGTTTACCGTTTCTCAAAAAAAACAAAAAAACACTAAAAACATGTAACTTATTGAGATTGCATTTTTTAATATAGTGACATTTGTTTTGAAGCGTCCTGTAAAAAAACATTATTCAAATCATATCAGATACACATTTTTTTTTATTTTCTCCTAAAAGACAGTGTCTAGTGTGATAACCTCTCTAATAGAACATGATTATTAGCCGTGATGAAGATTGATGAACTGTTTTCTTTCAGGGACTTCAGAGGGTCCCAGAGAGAGGGAGGGGTACCCAGTCGCCACCAGTGTTTATTTACATTTGCCCCTTTTAAATGATCCCTTTCTTCACAACATCTGCTCCACATTACCACAGCGATATCTGTCCTAATGACCACTATAATGCTTCAGCTCACACGCACAAACACAAGTAACATTACCATTACCCAGCATTCACCTGGGACACGTTACTCCCCCATCCACCTTGGACAACAAATAGACCTTCATTCTCAAATATTTTTTTTTTTTTTACTTTTTCTTTCTAGTTTGGGGCTACTTGATGGATGCAAATGGGCACTTACTTAATTGGATCAGTTCCCAAGTTGGAGATAAACAGGCCTTCTCTTTCTATCTGCCTCATTCAATGTGTTTTTAAGTAGCGCTGGGTTCAGTGGTGTGTGCAGGGAACGTTAATGAGAAGAGGGTTGAGGAGACACGGACACTTCTGGGCACTTTCAGAGCGCTGTGATCCGAGAGAGCCTTCTGTCCCAAACACAGGAAGTAGCCCAATGTGACAGTACCTGCTGCTGATGCAACTTACTCCAGCACTTTGATGGAGTTACATAACTTGAGCTATATCGGGTGAAAACAAAGTCTGGTCCAAAAATGGTACAATATGTTGAATAGGCCAAAAATGAAAACAAATACTGGCTTTCTTCCTGTGTTCTGTAGTATAAATATGTATTATCTGTATAAGTGAGTTGTTTAAACGGCACACTTGTTATTAATTAAAACATAAATTAAGCACTTTCACAAAATTTTGGAGTTTCAGAAAAATGCGGAATGTTCCTTACATACATATAAGTTCATGTTTTGACGGGAGATCTCAATTAGCATTTTTTCCCTCTGTTTCACTTTACATTTAAATACTCTACAGATTTTGTATGCATGAATGATTGTGCTCCTTTTCTTCTTCAAGCCTTTCCAAAAAGGCGAGAGGTGGCTCAGTGCCAGTGGGAGTGTGTTGGCTGTGGTAGCCTGATTAACAGAGTGGTTTACAGCCAACTCAAATAGGTAATCTCATCAGAGAGGGGCTTTAAACAGATAAAGACCACCTCTAACTGCTACCCCCTTTGCAGTCCGCTCCAACTGCAGCCCTTTTCGCAGGAGACCTCCCATAACACACTTACTTAGCACCCGCTAATGCTGAGAGCAGCTAACAAGGCCAGCCACAAACCAGGCTCAAATCATCTATTGACCTTGTTTTCAATAAAGCGCTCATTTCCAGCCTGATGAATGATTTGCTGGTCTTGCATGGAATGGCCATCTGGACAGAAGGATATGATCGCTGTAGTAGGTATGCATCACCTGCCAAGATTTGGGTCCTCTTTCAAACTTGGTACAAGCCATTTCTCTGTCCTTAAACCTAACAGACAAGCGAACCACACAAAAGAATTTGGAAAAAGGGGCGAAAATAACTAATTGAATTGTGCACCATATGGTCACTATTGGCCCAGCTCATTCTATTTCACGTTAAACATGAGGCGGGTTTGATCCAATATGAGAAAATCCCTGCTTGCATCTGGAGACATAACAGAAGTTCATTCAGTTATCAAAAGCTTTGTCCCGGGCTTCTTTGTGGCCGAATAAAGAAGAGGAATCCAAAACAAATGTGTGAAAGAGCTTTGGTGGTGGTAAAATCTCTTGTCCCACACAGACAGACACCCCACTTTTTGTCAGTGCACTTGGGCTGGGTTCACAGTAGCTGTGCTTTAACTATTGAAAGATCTGATTTATTAGCTTGTCAGGGGAAGCATTGTTCAAGAAAGCAATCAAAAAGCACTTACCTAGCTCCTCTAAAATTACTGCTATTTTCACCAGCTAATTTGTGTAACTCCCATGGAGAGGGTGGCAAAGAGTTTGATGAGGCATATAATGATGATTAATGAATTTATTGCCCCGCTGCTCATCAAATGGTTGTAGTATATACTTTGCTCCTTTTTTGTCAGTGTGTCGCACAGACTGGAGAAGAAGAAAAGGCGACGAGAAGAGATAGTGTTACCCCTCCTCCCTTTGGCTGTTAACCCTACTGACCTGATGGGCATGAGAATGGAGCTGCAGGAGTCGCTTGGCAGAGTGCAAGCACAATGGGCAGTTTAATAAAAGGTTAAACTTGAAACACAAGTAAAACTGCTTCGAGCGACACACGCGCTCAAATTTCAAGTCTCTGATCACGTTTGTGGGAAGGAAAAAACAAAACAACGGTAACCAGATCTGTCCACAAGCACCGGCAAACACTTCTCACTTCATTCAACACACAGAAAAAAAAAACACATTCATAAATAAACCAGCAAAAAACAAAGTTGCCGCTCAATTTTCAGAGTTCAAACCAGGCCTTCAAGCAGCAGAGATGATTAATGAGAGGCAGTGAGTGGATGGAGTGTGTGGCGGGCCCATTGTGCGGTCACAGTTGGGTCAAAAGCACCTATTTGCTAAATAAAAGTTGACCCCACACCTCGCTGCACGGACTGCCCCATAACTCTGAGCCTGACACATCTCCACGTTGTATGGGACCTTTCCACTCGATTACACACCATTTCTCTCCACATATGCACTGCCCTTTGACCAGCTGTTCTCGATGAAGTCTCCGCTTGTACACCACTGCTGCCACTAAAGAACGCAATGTTGCACCAAACACTATTGTATGCATATTATACACAACCCCCCAATAATCATTATCATCAGCACCTCCTCTGAGAACGGCTCCCTGGATAGATAGTTTTTGCATTCGAACATTCATTAGGTTGGTCCCTTAAATACATCAAAGGATCCCCTCGCTCACACAATAAACCAATAAAAACAATTATAACCCCATAGATTTGAAGCACTGCTGATCTCTGGGGTGGCAGCGTGAGATAATGAAATAGTTGATGACATAAGTTTTCGGAGAAAGCTCACTTTTCTTCTCTTTCTAGTGTGCATAATTATTCTACAATACCTGATTATCATATTCCCGTTATTCAAAGCTGTCGTAAAATTGTGGGATTTGGCGTTAGTAAAGCAAATGAGCAGGTCTAGAAACTTAGAATGGAAATGCAAAATATATATGTTTTAAAATAATGCATTTTGTTAAAGCCAATGTCATTTTCTAATGTAAAAAATACTTCATTTAAAAATGGGGTACTTTGCTTCGTTTGTTTCATAAATAACATCTAAAGTAAAATGTTGTGAACACTTTAGACCACAACATTTTGTCTTCATCCTAATAGAAACAAATGTAGTTATTTATTTTATTGCTTTATATGTATTTATTATATAGTTAATGCCTTTAAATAATTGTTTTTTATTCAAAGCTGGCAGACTTGTATATTTTAATCTGTTACTTTTATCTGTGCAGCAATAATGTGGATTGGATTGGATTTAGTATGCTTGTCAGAAATAGCTGACGCTTTGGACTGAGATCTGATTGGCTGTGAGGGTGGTCCTCTCTTTTACACTTTTCTCCCTAAAAAAAAAGCAAACCTAAAGATATGACAGTGGCCAAAAATACATGCATGTAAAAAAACTACCCGAAGAACAAAACTCTTTTTGCCCAGGGACTATATACAGTATTTGATTACGTAGTTACATTTATCGTAGTTTCAAAGTCAGGTACCCCAGCTTTAAAATGATAAAGTGTGCCTAAGACACTGGGTGAGTTGGATTGCACGTCCTTGACCCGTTGACACCTTCAATGATCCAACAACGGCATTAGCATATGCCATTAGTAAATACAGGAATATTGACACTCCCATATAATACCTCAGGTGCATTATGTCATTCAGCACTGCAGGTCGTACCTATGGGCCAAAGGTCTCGGGACGTAACGACAAGGTTCTTCCTGCTAATTACCGCAATTTCACCAGAAGCGCTTGAGAACTGGCACAAATGTGATTCATGGCTGAAATAACGTAGATACACGAAAATTACAAAAGGGATTAATATGCTTATAGTTATGCAGCCTCATTTTGGTTGCATAATTACTTTAATGTTGGCTATTAAAGCTAAGTGGGTCTGATTTTACAGTCTCCCGTACATTCTATATGCTTTGATCAATACTTATGATTTGTACGTGCCCTGCCACTGATATCACTGCTGTTGCTACGCTTGACCTTGAGGAAGGAGCGGTCTTTCCTTGGTCTGATGATGGAGAAAGGTCGTCTTAAGAGGACATAAACTATTCAATATTAATGGATTGCATTTATTGATATTCTTGGAGCAAATGACGTAATTTGTCACGCTTGGCTATAGTAAAAGTGCACTTCACTGTCAAGAAGATACAGTAGCTCCAGGTACAGTGACAGATGGATATATATGCATTGCTATCAGGGAAATCTTGGACTAGTTTGAGACGTATCATTTTTTTTGGCAACGCGTGAACATGATCTGCAATCTTGCCCTGTGAAGTGAATGAACAAGCGATATTGTGTTGAGAGGAAGTATATTTAATTTTGGTTTTGTCTTGTTTATACCGGAGGCTATCAGACACCACTCAGACTTCCAATGTAGGTGTGTCTGTAATGTAATCCAGTATGGGAAAGCAGAGGTGAAACTTCTGTAATTAATTCCTTACGATACTAAATATGTCAAAAGCTTAAACAATGGCATGTGTCATTCTGAAGGGAACAAGCCAATTAGAATGTACTTGTCAGTGATCGATGGGGAAAGCGCAGTACAGCCTTATTAGTATTAGCAGCAGATCGCAGGGAAGACATTGGTCAGGCAGATGTTGGTAAAAAGAGCCTCGTTCTCTTGAGGGCATTGTTTCAGAAAAAAGACACACTTTTGATGTACTAAAATATGTTTGTATGTTCTATTGTGATTCTAACCTTGACCTAACCAATTAGCTCAAACAATAAACCTTTTACTCCATAAATATGTCACCTTTCCGGACATGTTCAAAGAAAGACTGTTGTGATGTAAATAGAAAAACATTTTCAGGAACAGGCTTGATGTCAGTGTTGAGGTGTGTAATACATTAAGGACACCATTACTGACTATACCGGTTCTTTTCTTGTTTGCTGGTGTCAAATAAGCTAATTCATATAGAGCTAAATGTCTTGCTAAGAATGTTTTTGATTTACCCAAAAATATCAGTAAGTATTCTATATCTGGACGGAGCTGGGAAAGCAGGCATTTAGTTATTCTGCTCCCGCTGCATGGAACAGTCTGCAGTCAGAACTGAAGTGGTCCAAATTGTTCTCGCTGAACGCATTTCGTTCACTTGTATTTAAAAAACAACTCTCAACCATTGCCAAGTGCTCATGCTTTTAAACTTTAACTTGTCTTATTGTTGCCTTTAGTTTTTTTTTTGATGATGTAAATGTTTTGTAATTTCACTCTTTGTATTTTGTTGTATTATTGTATTGTTTTATTGTTGTTCTGTAAAGTGCCCTTGACGTGTGCTACAGACCTCTTGGCCAGGACTCCCTTGAAAAAGAGATCTCGATCTCAATGGGTATTTTCCTGGTTAAATAAAGGTTAAATAAAATAAATATCAAAAAGAATTCTCATACACAATTGGCTAAGAACTAATTAAAAGTGGTATCTGTATGAATGCAGGTGCAAAACTTATCTACCTTAAAGTAATCTACCTTGTGCATGTTGGGTATTTTGAATACAAGTAAAGAAATATGTGATATAATTATGATTGTGTTTTGCTGTCAGATAATTAGGCCAACAAAATAAAACACCTAAATTAATCAAATCCAATGTTTTAGACTATAATTATGTATAATGTGCAATTCAACTTGAAAGTGAGAAACCTAGAACCATGTACGAGCATAATACACAATACATTTCAAAAGTTGCGTTCTGTAACTAAATACAGCAAGTTCAAAGTATTGTGCAGCTAAAAGATCCAAGGTTCAATGGAAATATGATGTGACAAATTGTAGTACGGTGTGATACAGTTACAGAACAGTCAGCCATGGCAAAGAATGAGTCCATTTATTTTTTGATAGAGTAGATGTGAAACAGCTTAAAATGAGATCGAGAATATTTAAGGAAACATTCTCCGAGGCTGATTTCAGAAAGTTCTCACTATACATTCACAGAAGTTGGATCTGGTATTTAAGAATGACATTTCAAAAGCTCCATCAAACTGTTTAAAAGGGCTAAACTGATCCACAATGTTTTATGATCACAAAGTGGCCGTATCATTTCAATCGTGCCGCCGAATTAAGGCCGTACAATTCTTGCATCAGCTCGTCCAGGGATCTCGGGTTTCAGCTGACCAGTGAGCTTTAGCAAATTCCCTGTCCGCTTCCCATATGGGTGAGTGGCACCAAACAGAACAATGCTCAAGTGCTAGAAGCATGAGTGGCCAGAGTACACAGAGCTATTAGATGTGAGCGATACGGTTGAAGTTACTCCTGTGAACTTTGCCTTGACTCGACAATGGAAAACTGGAATTCTGAGTTGGGGGGTGAGACCACTTCACTTGAGTTGTGGGCGGGGCTATGGTAGCATTGGTTGATATTGAGCCCACCAATACACCCTCTCTCCCTATCTGTTTCCATTCACAATAAGTGGTGCCATTCTTTTCCTTTTTGAGTGCTGGCAACACGTGCTAGTGACCGCACTTTCCCTTGCTGCTGGCTGCGTCTTTTCTCTCTCTCTCTCTCTTTGCTCAAACCGGTTATTAGCGCGAACGCTGGCTGACATTTTGTTTGTGCTTTTAATTGTGCTTCGATGTTATGTCTCTTGTGAACACATACATTAGCATTTCTATTGGCACTGTGTAATCACCGCTCCAACCGCAGCACAGTGCAGACGGTACACAGGAAATTACCACATGCAATAATGTTAGCTTGAGGAGCACACTTGCATTGGAGGAGCTTCTGTATAGTCTGAAAACAGCCTCAAATGTTAGGTCAGCGTGTGAGTAATTGTTTATTTATTTCTACAGTGAAAGCCCAAGTTTGCTCATGCATTGACAGTAAAAGTGAACATATAAATATATAAAAAGTTATGAACTTTCAACCCCTTACTACATCTCATGTGCCTATACAGGTACAACTGAATGTTATTATACTGTGCATTTTAATTTTTGTCAGTCAAAATGAATACAACCATAACCTTCCTGGAAATGTAAAACAAATATTGGGATGAGCCTGGACCAGTTTGAACTCAATAATGTTCACATGATGTAGAGGAGCAATATGACAAAATCAAATCAAATACTCAGTTGCATTAACAATAGGCAAAGTAAAGCAGATGTATTTGTATAGAACAGTTGATACACAAGGAAACTCAAACAAGAACCTTTGCAATGTTTATTAAAAACATATTTATTTATTTAACCTTTATTAAGCCAGGAAAGTCCCATTGAGATTTAATACAAAAGTGATGAACATAAAAAATGACAGTACATTAAAAAGAGTATGCACAGCTAAACAACACAGTTTTTAACCTGGATTTTAACACGTCAGACTTGAAGCCTGTCTCACATGTTCAGTAAGTTCTAGAGGGAGTGGGGGCAAGTGGGGGTTCACTTTTGCAATTTTTAGTTTAATGCTCAATTCAAACAGACCTGTGGGAAAGCCTGACAGAGAATGCGGGACTCCACCTGTGTTTAGCACCCAGAGTTTGAGAACTCCCAGCCCAGTGCCCCGAGCAGGAAGAACATGTCTTTGCCCATAGTCACGAGGCAAAGAACAGCCAATTTTTGAACTACTATCTATTTGTACTTTGCACATATCCAAGCACTTTACTGACAAATGTATTACATCTGACACATCATAACTCAATACCTCTGGGAAGATTTGGATGAGACCTAAATGATGACATACTTAACAAGTGATCACGTTCAAACAGGTGATCCAGCTCACTACCTGGATGCAAGAACTTTATAAGAAGTTTATTTGTACTCTTTCACTCTTGGCTCCTCTGCCTAAATAAACCATGGAAGAAGTGTCAAATGTATTAACTGACTTTTTAAATACACTTCAGAAAAAGAATACAGCCATATGTACAGTTTAAACATATGGTGGATGAAGCTGTTGCATCATGTTATTAATTGTTCTTGATCAAACCTAACGCCACCACAGAGCTCCGCAGAGATGACTTTGTGTTATGACTGTTCTCTGGACTGAGCCTGTGTCTTGTTATGAACATGTCTTCCTGTTTCCCAGTTTGAGAGAAACAGGACGATTGTGAAACCTCCAAAACTCTTTATTCACAACTTTCACAGTCACACTGGATATATCACCCAAATAAACCAATATGTTTCGAGATCAAAGTGTATTTATAGTAATTACTGTTATCAATACCGCTGATTCTTTTAATTTTGAGTGCAGTGACAAATAACACGTTATAATTCACTGATTGATTGAAATACTTAATGTGTATTGATCACCTGGCCGTGTACAATAATGTCAAATTGAATAGTCACAATAGACCTTGCCATTCTCCAAGATTTGCAGCGGGAGAATAGACCAATGGGCAAAGAGCTTGCCTGTCAATCAAATATTTGAATTCATGTTGTCCATTCAGGAGGCATTATATCCTGAAGCATTCTGAATATGTGATAATTTAATTTGCTATCAGAGCTAGTTCGGTATTGTTTGTGTACAGTAACATACAATTTAGACTTCTAAACGGAGATTATGGAGAAGTCTTTTTTTGTTCATTACAAGAATTAAGCTCCAGACACTGGGGCCACCAGATAATCTCCCTATGACTCATGCAAACACAATTGACACAAAAGCATTAGAACCATAACAACTTTGACAACATTTAAGTACAAAAGAGTGCAACCGGGGTAGAAGCAGGCTTTAGCCGCACAGAACGCCGTGTCAGGTGTCTGCGTCTCTGCAGGTATGTGTTACCATAATAGAGCAGTTAAGAGGGCCTCTTGTTGCGGGCCCTTCCCTCCTGTCTCGGCACACTGACTCCAGTGTGAACAAGGGTGCCTGGCCGATTTAGTATATCCTTGCTAGGTTGAGTATTGCACAATGGAAACTGTCATGCTACTTGTAATGTGTAATTGAACTGGGAGTCATTTTGTTTGGGAATATTCAGACCAGAATTGTTCGACTCCAAAAACACCCCAAAAAAACAACACGTCTAACTTACATAAAGGCTAGGGTTAGAGCATGTTGAGCGTCGCCTTTTCCCAAATGACCGCATGTCCACTACAGTTGCACCCTTCTCTAATGTTTCCAAAAACCACAATCAAACCCGCCCTATACGGTTTTCACATCGCTTTCTTGGCACCCCACCCTCACCAGGACTTTTTTGTCCTCTGGAACATTCATTATACTATGTAGGGATAAAAATACAGCTCCCTGTGACTTTATGGCTACTCCTCGACTGCCATAGAAAATATAAACTTCTGACATGTGCTGTGTAACCCAAGTAAGAAAACAGAGAAGCCACAACATTTATACAGCATCACCACAACATATACCTATAATATCCATAGTCATACTTGCAGAATGGATACACATTTACGACATTAGTGTTTAAACAGGGAAGAACAAAATACAACTTGTTCGGGTAGAAATGATTTGAAGGAAAGAAGGTGAAAATTCAGTGTATTTTCAAAGTAAACCATTTGAACCTCAGACAGTGTGACACATCTTTTTAAACACCCCTTTCTCCAGCATGACTCAATGATAATAACAGTATCAGGCCTTTTATACAAAGCCCTAATTACAATCATTCAAACCTCTATTCGTAGATGTTTATATCCTCCCACCCGTTCTTTTCTCTCCGTCTGCCTTTCATTCACTTTCACTCACTGACAGCTGCTTGTCCTGGGCAAGTGTTTTCCCCTTATAAGATATTCTATTACCTTTCCTGCATGTAGCTACATGGTAAATCAGTGCTGTTATTCTATCATTAGGGGGATAATGTGTGGGCTGTTTGATTTCAAAGTCTAAATGCCAGCTTTGGTGTGACCTGGGGGCAGCCTGTGGCTTTGACTGATGCCAATGTAACCAGCTAACGTCATCTGAGACTTCTAACAGCTTGTGTCTTGGAGCATGATGTCCAAGAAAGACAAGGTTCACAGACACAAAATGTTGATGTATTTCTAAAAGCTTGCTTTTGATATGTCTATTTTCTAAACTATAATTTGGTTTCAATTAAATGATGATACATTTATGTTTTTTAACATCATACACTCAAGATTCAGGGTGAAGAATCTCACAAACACAGCTTATCCACAAGTGTCTGTACTGAGCGCCAGAGGCAGAAACGTCTAAACCACAACTCCATCACAGATCTGTGTTTTTACGTTCATACTTTATGTGTACAGTAATTTAGTCTGAGCCAGACAGACACAATCTGTCTTGCCCTGTGTCTGTTTCTATATAAGTATCCTTCAAAATAAAGTGCCAGAGTAAACTCATCAATTGTAAAATATGCACACCACTAAAAAGTACCTTCAGGCAATTATGCATTTTCTGTGATTACACAGTGAAAATAATTTGTTTCTGTACTGGTTATATCTATAATAATGTATATTATACAGTATTGTAGTAGTTATTCAAGATATAGTTATTTGGATACATCATTTTTTGTGTATTAACACCAAAGGTTGGATAAAAAGAAAAAAAATGAAGTAACAATTCCCATCAATAGTGAACGGCTTAAGGCCAAACAAGAGACTGCTAAGCTCTGATCTGTGTATGGACCAAGAATCAAATACCGGATGCATCCTAAAACCATGTTCACCTTAGGTGAATGGTTTGGTGTCTCAGTGTCATGTCTGCAGGTACGACTGTACCTGATACCTATTTGTGTGTGCGTACATGTCACTTTCAAACGGCACTTTCGATCACAGATGAATCCTAGCCGTGCATGACAAATCTCCACCTGTGAGTGGGATCAGCCCACAACATGCGGGAGCTTGCCCTGAGCTCACAGCCTCTGCACCCAGCACCTGAGGCTCTCCCAACCACTGACTGATGGGAGAATCTTGCCTGACAAAAGAACATCCGTGATTGATCACTTACACTCACAAGCACCTGAGGGAGGCCTGGTATGCCAAGGACTCAAGCCTCAAGAAAGTGCACCATTCTGGGGGAGTCCACCTGAGTCCCTGGGGCAGATTCCAGTATGTGTCTGTGTGGTCATCGCTGCAGATGACTATAATACACAGTAGAGCCTCAGGTCAGGAAATTTAATTAGACACTGAATAATGTATCATCGGATACAAGTGTCTTTTGTGTTGATGTTCCAAAGAGCCTCCTAATAAAGCCAGGAAACAACCTTGAGGTGTAATACTCAGTAATGTGAGACAGGCTTTTGCCTCATTAAATATAAATCAGGCAATTGCAAGGGATGGTAAATTGTGCAGACTAAAAGGACAATTACACCTGTATCAATCTATTTCATTCTGTATCCATTTTCACCCTTTCCTAGTGCATTATTTTAACATAATGAAGTGAGACGAAGCAAAACTATTCAAAAGCGTGAGATTTTCTGAGCAGAAATCCAGACAAACCCCCATCTGGCTCATAGCTATGTCTGGATTGCCTTCTTCTCTGAGATAGGAGTCAACATGTTTAGCGACATCAAAAGAGAATCCGATACCTTAAGTATAAGAAGATTAACACTTGCAGTGATCTTGAGCTTAGGCTTCCCCAGGACTTTCAGCAGACTGTGCCAGAAGGGACAATTACAGATGAATTGGCACCAACATCTCGTCATTATTTAACACAATCTGGCACGGTGTATAAGCCCTTGTCCTTAAGATTTTCTTTTAAATTCCGGTCTCTGTATCAAAAAGCGAACAAAAGACCTGAGCAGAGAAAGTTTGTGAGAGAATAAACAACAAATGTGACATCTCTAGGACAGGTTGTTTGTTTATCTTTTGCCTCTGAACTGGAGAGAAGATATTTCTGGTGTTGTGTGGAATGCAGTGGACTAAATTCTGTAATTAGAACGTATATAAAAAGACAAAAATCTGACAGAGAAACATGGACATACTTAATTGAAATAGCATTTACACTATACTATAACATTTTACTTTGAAAAATTCACTAATTTTGTCATTATTATTAGCATTTAGGCTTATTTATATCGTAAAGTTGTCAGGTGCGCCCTTGCACTGACAGTAGTAAGCTCCAAAACACCTGTAGGAGATGTTCTATGGCTTCAAGCTCTGTGCTAATCCTCACCTTCAGCCCTGTTTAGTCACCACAGGACTTCCCGGGGTTTATGAAGTACGCTACTCTTTACACACATATCACTGACTATTAATCCAAAATACATACCGCATGCTTGTAGCTACAACGATTCAGTGCGGTGAGTGTAATCTGGCTGTCAGAGGGGATAGCAGAGAGGTACCACCCGGGGCAGGCTCGGACAGAGATGTTGGCTTCTCAACGACAGTAATGACAGCAAAACAGATTTGCGCTGGAGGAAGCTGAGCACCAACAGTGAGAGAGGGGGCCCGGGTCCAAATCCACCTTTAGTCGGCACGATTCACACTTGCATACAGGTCTTGTGTTAAGTCTGAGTTTAAAGTGGAAGTCAAAGTAAGTATAAACATATACAGGTATGTCTCAAAAAGTTCTGGGTACTGGGTAAAAGTGTAACAGATATTTCAAAGTTATTTGAATTGAAACTAATATATGATGTGGAAGCAGATAGGATGCAATATGTCAAAACCTTTTCATGAATTCAAGTTTGGGAAAGTGTCACATTTCAACTTTTTATTTAAACTTAACTTTTTTTAATGAATTTTGCTCATAGAGTAGTGGAAGAAAACAACATACTGTATTTGTCATTACCGTCTAATACTCACATTAATGGCAGTTGGAACAATCTCTTCTCTTAGACAAAATAACATGATTAGCTCTTCACAATTGGCAGTGTGCAAAGGTAATTTGTAGGAGACACGGGTGGTTTCCTTTATTGTCGTCTGTCATCCCTATAAGTCTGAGGGAGTTGTTAGAAGTACTCTCCCTAAACCATTACTTGGCCTGATCACAAGGCAGCGTAGATTATTCCTATTCAACTCTGCTCCAGTCGTTTTAGGCTATTTGCTTTAATTGTTCAGCATACATGTCATGGCACGTATATTTGTGTTGCCTTTTAAAGAAGTCTTAAGGCAAACTTATTCAAGGCTAGGTGAATTTAACAGGTTACAAGACATTCATGGTTGGGCCTGTAGGCCACACTGGAATACTGTGACAGATGCCATATTTTGACGTGGGGCGGATAGGGACAAGAGGGAAAACTGAGTGATTTGGTTCTAGAGACTTCCCTTCAGTCTGAATGCTTTCCTAAATGTCTCCGGAGCAGCTTTGACAGACACACAGAGGAGACATGACCTGGAACATTGTCTTGTTTGATCACCGCTGTGCTGCTTTCATTCTGTCACTAAGATCTACTCACAAACGCTTTATATTTTAAATCCATGTCGTTAATATGGAAATGTGAATGCATTATAGATAAAAATTTGTGTCAATAACTATTTTGTAAGTAAACTGAAGTGTCACAAGAATAAAGAGAACATGGGCTAAAGGATCGAGAGATTCAGCCTTTAGCAGAAATCTTTCGGTCTTTCTTTACTTCTTTGATTTCAGCATTTGTAAAATAAATAAAGATCAATTAGATTTTAGAAATTATGCACAAGAGTGGTTAAGTTATCAGTTAAATTGGGCTGAACAGGGGCCATTGCAGCACACATAATGTTGACTTAAGGTAACAATGAAAACAGAACCAAAAATGTTAAAGGGGATCTTTCCATTGATTAATCACTTAATTACAAAAAGTAGTAGTAGTTTTACTTTACTACAGTAAGTCATATGTTGTTGCTTGTTGTGTGATTACAAAAAGGGCCCTCACAAGATAATCCCACCTCAGTTCCAAGCTGCTCTTGCACACTGCAGATTTACGGAGCCCAGTCACAGTGCCTCCATTAATTGCTGAAAGTGACACCAAGCACAGTTATTACACAATTACATTATGACAGCTCTCGTTTTTCAGCGTCACCGGCCAGCACACTGGCCTGAGTGCTCAGCTGCAGCAGCATATCAGGCCGCCACAGGGACCAAGGCCATGCTATGCACCTGAGGCTTAGCTGGCGTAGGCCCTAGCATGACAGTATCACACACCAGCTAACCAGTGAATAATGTGGCAAAATTCATCCATCAAAAGTATATTATAGAACAGATATGGTGTATTACAGATCTGTGGAATAGCTTGTTCCATTAGTGTTTAGAGGCATCCATATAGAAAATAAATATCCCTTAAATGTTATAGTATCATCAAAGCCAGCACAATGAAAAAAATCACAGTTTATAAAATTGTTAACACTTAGCCATACTATCGAGTGAAAAGTATACTGGCTTGTACTACTGTAGTACCAGTATCAGTAATTGCCCACTTTAGGCAAAGATGTCACGGACGTATGGATTTTCTGCCATATAGTGGTGGCTGTCCCTCTGCTGATGTGAGAAGGTTGTGGTGAAGAGAGGTGTGTGTGTGTGTTTTTGTCTGTGTGTGTGTGTATGAATGTGAATAATGCATTACGAGGTATAAGGCTGGTAAGGAGCTGGGGCTCTGGGAATTTCAAGGCATTTGTGTTTGTCACACAAATCAGGAAGTCTTGGTGTGCACAGAGGCAAATCTGAACTGACGGCTCAGAAAGGAGATGACACCACCTCCTCCACACAAACTCTCACCTGAGCAGGAAGGTGTGACGATTAGAGTAAGCTGGTGTAAGGCAGGCATTCACTGTTATTTTGTAACTATATGGAGTTAGGATTACCGCTTAAATGTGTCAGTGTTCCAGACAAACATGGCCAGTTAAACAGTATAGTGCTCCAGTATTTATTAGAGCTTGAAGAAATATTGGAACTAAATGTTTGATAACAAAAGGGCCATTTGTACAGCGTTCATGGATTGAAAAAAGTTATCCTGGACCTAGACAGATGCGAAAGCTGTTGAACGCTGGACAGACCAGTGAGAGGTGTTGTGCTTATAATGTCATAAAGCTGAAGTCATTGAATACAAAATATGCAGAACAAATCTATATTCATGTGTTGGCTAAATTCACTACAATAAAATTATTGTGTATATAGTGACTGACTCCTATATTGTCGATAAAGCTGCAGAGCTATTTCAAAGCTCTTTCTCATCGCACCTGACCTTCCTGTTCCCACTGTTACCCTTTTAGAAATGGACATGGCAGACATGATTCAACGTTTTGCAGCAGCACCTCTCATCTCTCATTTGTTGCTCAGATAAATAAGATCTACAATGAGGTCAGACAAAAGATAAAAGCCACTGACCCTTGTCTCGGTGGGAGATTGTCCTCCCGCCCATGTGCTCCTGTCTGCTAGAATGTTTTCAGATATGGACACACGCATGGTATGGCGGGCTATGAAAATAAATGGGTGGAGGGGTGGAAGGAATGATAGAGGCCAAGCTCTAAGTTGACGACAGAAAGAAAACAGATCACTCGACCAGTCGCGACGACTAATTTTAATTATTATAGAAACTACTTTATGGTACAACTTTTATGATGGAGGTACACTACAGCAGGATATTCCCAGTAAATGTCATCTTCATACACATTGACCCCTCTACAGCTAAAAATACATCAACTATCAAATTTTTCTTTTACAGCCAATAAATATTGCAATAAAACAATACACGTCTGTACAGTAATTATTGTGGCACTCTTTAAACTTCTCTGCAGTCCCTTCGACCACTGACTATATTAACAATTTTCCACTTGGATTGTTACAAGTCATATTTGCGCCTTTATCTGCAGTAAAACATGTATGTTGTTTTAGCCTCGGACACCCCCACTCAGCCAATCAGCTCTCAGCCAAAAGGTTTAGAATTGTGGCTCACAGGGCTCTATCTGACAATCTTTTTGTTCACATTAATTTTGGGACACAAACAGAATCAAGAAATGTAGGTACCCCAGCTTTAAAAAATACCAGAACATGAAGTCTAAATGTGTCCCTGTTATGTTGCTGACAGGTGGATCACATGTTACTTAAGGTAATGACTTAAGAGTCCCGGCTTCCATGGCTGAAGTGGACAGACACATTCCAGACTTTCACTTAAAGGAGCGTGTCAGGGGTTAAGAGGTGGTAAAAAGAGTGGGCAGCCACAGCGAGTGAAGCCGCAGCCGCCTTCATCAGCAGGTGGGAGGTGAGATCTGGGGTGTTAGCAGCAGGTGTTGCACAGGGTTACAGATCACAGCCCAGCGTTAGGCAGCGATAAGCCCAACGCCACTTAAATTACATCCGTGGCTCTGCTATGACCCGTGTGGTTAAGTAAAGCAGCACAGTGGATAGTGTAAGTGTGAGAAAGGAAAGCTGCAACATGTGTATCCCAGTGAGCAATTTTGTGCTTTACCAGTAAGATATGTGAGTGTCCATTTACCAGAAATGCAGGCAATGGAACACATCAATAAAACCGAGGCACGAAATCAGTCAACTAATACTGCATCTAATTCCTTTTATGTTCAAAACTCCTGTCAAAGTTTTGATTTGTTACGTTAAGTAAAAAATAGAAGACATATTGCCTAATGCAACATACGTCAGATGACACATGTATGATGGTAAGCAGGATCACAACTACTCCTGTATACGAGCTGGAGTACCTACCTTTCAAACCACAAAAAAATACTTAATAATTATAATAATGATTAGCTCACACAACTGTTTGGTTCTATCTCTAGTAGACCAGGCTGGTGTTCTCTTTTTCCATTAAAAAATTGACAATTTGCAATCAATATGTAAAATATGTGGTTTTATTGGTTCACAAAATGATACTTAAACAAGACTCAATCTATTGGGTCAAACACAACATGTATGAATAAAAGTTGGGTACTGCATTATATGTGAAAGAAACTAAAACGTAGAATGTGACCATGCATGCACTTTTTGTCACAGTCCAATGAGACCTTGTTGAAACACTTCTGGCAAATCCAGGACAGATAAATAAATCATAAACAAACAAAATCTAGTTGAAGAAATGAGAGGGATGAAAGTGGACAGAGCCAAAAGGCGCGTGGAGCTTTGAGGATGAGCCGAGGTGAAGTATTGATCAGCCATTGACAAACACAATAGAAATTTTAGATGTGATGTGAGAGCCCCCATCCATTATTTATCAGTGGGCCAAATGTGAGTGACGTGGGGTGCAGACGGAGGGAGTATTGATTAGTACTGGGAGGACAGAGTACAATGGGTGGTGCTGGTGGTTGGGGGCGTCCGGTGAGAATAGAGAGAAAAGGATGGGGTGGCGTAGTGCAAGAGATCCACAGAAGAGTAGAAGTGGGGAGGAGGGGGGTGAAGCATAGGAAAGCCATTAAGGATGGCAGTGTTACTAGACACTGGCACAGAGATGGGAGGAGAGGTCAACACCCCCCTTTATGCTCTACCACACCCCTTCATCTCACCACCCGCCCAAATCAATACAACCATGTCAAAACATAAAATGCATGCTTTTGCTCTTAAGTAAAAGGTGTCTTAAGATTTTAAAAGCATTGATTGGAGGACGGGTCGATGGAAATCACGGCATATTTTCCTGCACAAAGAGGGCAATAACACTCAGCAACACAACAGGAACGGGGACAGGAGAGTGCACAAATCTGATTTTGTATAAATATCTATACTGATAAACAACACTTGATGCAATGTTTACAAACTATTTTATCAAACATACTTTGATCGATACAGCATTATTTCCAACATCATAATTATATAGCAGACAGAAAAGTTGCCTCCATCACAATGTAATTTAAAAATTTATATTATTATTTTATTTTATTTTTTGAAGCAATAATAACAAATATATCAAAAGCCTCAAAACATAAAACGCATTATCTGGGTGGGTATATTCTTATTTTAAAATTTGATATCTACGGGAGTGACCGCCCAATTTGACCCAAAGCCACTCTGTTAAACATACATCAAGAACGTAGAGAAAACGACCGAAAGCAGACGACTAAATGTTGTCCCCTAATCAGAACTTGGAGCAACCACATGAAGGGCTGTGCCAATGTGCAACCAGATGTCTTGTTGTTGCACTCACCAGAGTGAAGCCACAGAACAAGGACAATGGAAATGTCCCATAATTAGCATCATGCATGGGTGCAGCTACGCTCTGCAGAAACTCATCTGTCCATAACCACACACATAATGAGTTACATGTGATTTAAACTCCAACCCAGGAAAACTCTTTAGAGTACAGTATGGTACAACAAATACAATTTTCTACACACTTCTATGAGCTGGAGACTTGGGAAGATTTGGGACACGGCCGATCAAAGTCAGTGTAATACATTAACCTCTGAGTCAGCAAGAACTGACCTAAGCATTTCTCTGACACATGTTTTGGAAATTGTAGGTCGTGGTCTTGTTACACAAATGGCCGTTCTAATCCTGATTGTGAGTGATCTGTTTTCAGTGCAGCATATGAGAATGTAGGAAATGGGAGCCAGTAGTGAGATAATCTGGTCACATGATCCATGAAGATGGAGGTGATGACAGCCATGCTGTGCCACCGTGTGTCATACGATGAGAAGGCCAAGTGGCAGGTGACACACTCTCCCTTTCTTAATGAACAGATTCTGATCCACAGAACAAAATAGTGCCTAGACAGAGGGAGAAGGAGAAAATAACACAGGAGAGGAGTAATGGCCTCCAATTGATACGCCATTTGATGTGGTTCCGAGAAATGTGAAGGGTAAGAGTTCGGAGTAAGAAAACCTGCAAGAAGCTGTGGGTGCCATCCATATCCATATCCAGCTTTAGAGCTTGGCTTGGTTTGGACTGAGCTGACCGGTTTTGCCTAGTGTACATATAAATGCTTGTTGTACTGTAGGTAATGTATTTACCACTGTTAGGGACAAGTGCTCGACACTAAGCTACCCTGCATTAAAGGAGTGGGTTTGTGTAAAATAAATAACACAGATACCCAACACAACAAGGCCTCTTTAAAAATCTGCTGCGAGGATCCTGCAAAATAAGATTCTTCCACAAATTAAGACAATTAGATTGTCCTACACTG